CCCCTTTTGGGGCGATTTCAGTCAGGTTGAAAATCGCCCCAGAAGTCTCTCATAGACTCTCATGTAAAATCTTTTTTTTTCAAATATCAGAGCTTTCAATACAATCTCTATGGGTTCCGGGAGGGCTTGCACTTACGTAACATAACCATGAACGTAACTAAGAAAAGAGCGGGTAGCAGCGTCAATCAATTCACGTACTACTGTCAAGATGGCTAGCGTTCAGTGCAACTCGATTGTCTCTTTGAAAGAAGTTCCTTTTTGTCGGCGAACAAATCAAGATAAATTGGCAACGAAACAATTAGGACCTCCCAGACCAAATTTAATAATTCAACAGGTTTCTACTAAAGGGGGAAAGTCCTACACCCGAGGATTTTCCAAAAATTGGTACGAACGAAAAACCTGGATAGCAGGCTGCGATGTAGCTAATGCAGTCTTCTGCTACCCCTGCTTACTCTTTCACCCTGAAGGCGGCACGGCAGACAGCACCGCTTGGACAGCGACTGGTGTAACGGACATGCACCATCTTTCAGAAAAGATTAAGAAACATGAGCTGTCAAAGACCCACATGGATAGCTGTTTGAGATTGTCTGCTTTGGGGAGAGTGAACATTGCCACTCAACTGGATGAGGGATACAGGCTAGCTGTCCGCCGCCACAACGATGAGGTTAGCAAGAACCGCCACATCCTCAGCCGGCTAATCCAGTGTGTGAAGTTTTGCGGAGTGTTTGAGTTAGCTTTGCGAGGCAAAGATGAAACTGAGGGCTCCACCAACCCTGGTATTTTTCTTGGACTTGTCAACTTTGTGGCACAATTAGATGAGGTGTTTTATGGAAATGCATATTGTTTATGCAGTGTTGAGGAATGTGAAAGTACACCCTTGATTATTTTTACTGTGATAACTTATTTTGCTTTTGTAAGCCAACACTTTTGAGATCAGTCAATAAATGCTTCTGGTATTGACTTATATGCTGCCCCTGTCTTCATGTTGTTGCTGGACATATCTTTTTTAAAATGTGTGTAGGTCACCTAAATCATCAGAAAAATTGCCCCCCCTGAGAATTTTTTCAGGAGCCGCCACTGGGTATATCCCTTCCTTTATCCAGCATATCCTTACACGTGTATTTAATTTTTTCTAAGGTCAAACACCATTTGGAGATAGAGGATATACCCATTTAAATAAAGATTTAAATAAAGACACAGCTATTTACATGCCATCAAATCCAACCAAGCATGTGAAACAGCATTAAGACAGACTGTGTGCATGTCTTACAACATCCCCTCCAGGCATGAGAGGACTTCTATAATGAGAAATTCAACAGCTCCCACTTGTCACAATCTAGAGCTGTGAGGATCGTGAGGATTTCCTCCGCATGCCTCCGTTCCTCCCCTCCATGACACCCATGGTGAACCCCCAGTGTGCTAGTTCCTGCTCTAGGGAAAAACACTGCTGAGAGGGAGAAGATACTGTTGCTTTTTACCACACCTTCTTAGTGCAGTAGCAGGGGAGCAGACATCTGTAGACACTAAATTGACCAAGCAGGCAAGGGGAAACCACTTCTAGGGAAGCAGAGGTGATTCTCTTTATACAGCACCACTAGAGCAGTGGTTCCCAACTCCAGTCCACCAGCACCCTCAACAGCATACATTTTTGTTGTAGCACCAGACAAACTCACCTGATTCAACTAATTGAGGGCTTGATGATTAGTTGGCAAGTTGTCTGGGGCTACAACAAAAATGTGTGCTGTTGAGGGTACTCAAGGACTGGAGTTGGGAAACAATGCATTAGAGAGTGTAGACATAACCCTTTTGGGTAACGCTTCACATTAAGTGGCTCTATTAATTATGTATTTATACTGTACCTTACATAGGTACAGGGTAGAGTAAGTACATTGTTAAATTCTGACTAGTAATTATTATCTGTAATACCCATCTGTGGTATATGTAATCACACACATCATTTTAGATTCATGAACACACTCAAATGAATTACCGCCTCCTCTCACCCCAGAATTATTGCTTTAGATTTCAGATTAATGAACTACAAAACCCATCAAATTGCGCAAACAGTCATAAATACAATCCACTGTACTAGCCTATGTAATTACCATGTAAATAGAGTCAAGCCACTTGATGTCAATTGTGACCACTTTATCTTCCTCCATCCCACTGTGACGTCCCAAGGCTACGTCTCCTCTTGCTGATGGTGTTATTTTCTCAGTCCGATAACACAAACAACACACTCTCTCTCTGGTGGTGATATTCTGTCCGTCCGGCGGAGGCTGAGGTGCAACATGCACACTCACACTCCTGACCCCTTTTTGCATGAGGATATCGGTTGGCAACTAGAATAACCCTCAGATTTAGTATTTTATTAGGCTCCCCGTTAGCTACTGCTAAAGCAGCAGCTACTCTTCTTGGGGTCCACACAAAACAAAAAACATGTCATAATACATAACATTAATAGACAAGTACATCACAAGGACGGAACTACAGACATCACAAGGACGGAACAACAGAAAGTATACACGCTTTCATACATTTATGGCTTCATAATCATGTTGTTCATAGACGCTACTGAATCCAAGTGCAACACACGAAATCTATAATTGAAACGCAATAACAAGGAGGTGCATTGCAAATAGGCTGACACATTTAGCTAAATTCCCCTGACCTGAATAAAGCTACCTTGTTTCTATAGTTACCGCCCATAATGGGTTTCCTGGGGTAACATGTAATATCTCTCAGATGACCCTATGTTTCTGCGTGGGAATAAGATGTGTAAGAAATGTGTGCGTGTGGATCTGTGACCATGCATGTGTGTGCCTGTGTGTGTGTGTGCTTGTGCATATGTATGTGTGTGTGTCAGTCCGTCCTGCATCTCTCTTACTGTATAAAGAAAGGTGTGAGGACGTGAGAAGTTTGCATCAGTCAGTTCTAAGTGGACCCTGTCTGACGGCACGCATCAGGAGGCTCTTGAGCCAGCAGAGAACTGACACAACTCAGAGCGTAACGGATCAATGTGTGCTAGAACAATGTCTACTTTTCATTTTAATCGTTTTTTCCTAGTTATCTATATGACAAAGAATTGGGAGTGGAAGGTTGTACTTAGTCCCTAATCCTCTCCTCAGCGTTGCCTCCTGTCCGGTGTTTGCTCTACCGTCTCCTGCAAATGTCAAATATTCTCACAGACATGATTATCTTTTTCATTATCACTGCCTGAAACAATATTGTTTTTAGGTCATGTCGGTAGAGTGGTGAGTAACAATTCTGAGAGGGAAGTTATCTCAGTATTCTCAGAGACACTTTGCTGTAGATGAATTGAGGATGAAAACATTGTTTTTCTTATCCAGTTAAACATTGTGGTCAATGCCCAGAATGGTATCTTATAGATCAGGAGATGCGATAACCACAAGTATATAGTAATAACTAAGTCATATTATAGTAATAACTTTTTCTCTTTCTAACTGAATATGTTCTCAATAATATGTTGGATTATATGGCCAGGAAAGTCGCATACACTCTCCACAAATACTTGCACACAGCAGCACATAGCTATGCTAATCAGGTCAGGCGTCACAGAGTTGCATATTTTAAATTGCATACTTGACATAATTAGTGGAAGGCGGCCCTGGAACACTCATTATTTGCTGGCAAATTCACTATCTCTTGTGGATGAATCCAGGGGTAAACAGATAGAGCTGTGTGGGGTTCATGAGTCTCCATGATTATAAAACATATCTGTTTATCCTTTTCCTTCATAAATGCCAGACAGCCTCTTTCTCGCCTCTCCCTCTGCCTCTCTCCCCCTCTCCCCCTCTCCCCCTCTCTCTCTCTCTCTCTCTCTCTCTCTCTCTCTCTCTCTCTCTCTCTCTCTCTCTCTCTCTCTCTCTCTCTCTCTCTCTCTCTCTCAGCACATGGTTGATACTTATACGTTCACGGCAGAGGTTTTGCTGCATAAATAAATGCATATTAGTATCTCCTGATGCTGCATTATAATATACTGCTGGATGTGACATTATGTTTTCAAATAGATTATTATTTCTCTAATGGATGAAGCTTGTCTCTGACTGACATGCTCACTATGGTAGTAATCCCAATACACAGTCAGTCCCAAAATACATTTTATCCATGATAATTGTAAAATAATAATACTGATATTGTGGTGTCTCTCATTCTAGACCTATGTATGTCCATGTAAGCCTGTGTGATACTTCAAGAGGACAGATGGCATGTACAGAAACACACACACCTGGATCAGACAGAAAGAAATAGATAAATGACAAGTACAGTTTGTCAGTGACCACCAACCTTAGACATGGATGAACTATACATGGTGTGCAGGACGTTTTTGTCCCCATACTAAAACATGCGATTCAACTAATAATTAAGACATTGTTGGTGCTAGGTTGAGAAAAAAGCTGTGTAGCTTTGTAGCTCTCCAGGACCATGGTTGGTTGTCACGGATGTTACTGTATAAGCTTACATAAAATCGAATATATATTTATTCAAAACCAAGATTAAAGATTGAGTCAGAGAAGGAAAAAGAGAAAAACTAAAACAACGAATGACAGCCGTAGACATGCAACATCAACGACAGAAGCCTTAAAGAGTAATCTCTACTTTTTCATCATCCAAAATTTGGCTACCAAATACTGGACTTGCAGTTCTGTCTCCAATGTACAATCAATGTGTGATCGACAAGGATGAGTATATCAACAATAGTGAAAACCCATTTTAAGTACTTAACACATACAATTATAACTCTTCAGCAGGCAACATTCTCCACAATGTCCAAGTCATTCTTTCTGGGAAGTAGCGATGAACGCTGATCTATTAAATGAACTATTCTATTCAGCTATTCAATCATTTTCTGTGAATTACTGAATGCTGAGCTGCATGCTCCAATGTTCCCTCTAGTGGATTGCCCTCTTTGTCAGAATATAAATAGGAATGTGGAGAGAGGGAAGGTGAGAAGAGATAAGAAGGAAAGAGGAGGAAAGTCATCCCATCTCGGGCTGAGTGAGGGGGACAGTGAGCTCCTCCTCTTCTCTCACCACTGGGAGCTGGCTGCTGCTGGCGCTGCGAGCCTGGACCTGCTCAGAGACCGTCGGGAGGGACGCAGTGTCCGGGAGGGCTGGAGGGACAGAATGAAGAGGAAGAGAGGGAGGAGGAGGAGGAGGAAGAGAGGGAGGATAGAGAGTAGAAAGAGAAAGAGGACAGGGAGGAGAGAGAGGGGGAGGAAAATAGGGAGGATGAAGAGAGGGGGGAAAGTGAGGAGGAAGAAGAGGAAGGAAAGGGAAGAACACAAGGAAGAGAGGATGAAAGACAGGGTTTTGAGAGGAAGGTACAGGTAAAGGGGAAGGGAACGCTTGAGGGAGGAAGAAACCAAAGAGAAGGCATGAAAGTTAGAGCCGTTGCAAAGGAAGAGACAGACATTGACATAGAGGCCCTATAATTAAACTGTACTGTAAAGCCAATGGCAGTTTAGATATCCTATATTCCTGTGGTCCTCTGTAGCTCAGCTGGTAGAGCACAGCGCTTGTAACGCCAAGGTAGTGGGTTCGATCCCCGGGACCACCCATACACAAAAAAATGTATGCACGCATGACTGTAAGTGGCTTTGGATAAAAGCGTCTGCTAAATGGCATATTATTACTAAGTCGCTTCGATAAAAGTGTCTGTTAAATGGCATATATTATTTGTGCACAAAACATTAGGAACACCTTCTTAGTATTGAGTTGCGCCCTCAGAACAGCCTCAATTCGGCCGGGCATGGACTCTACAAGGTGTCGAAAGCGTTCCACAGGGATGCTGGCCCATTTTGACTCCAATGCTTCCCACTGTTGTGTCAAGTTGGCTGGATGTCCTTTGGGTGGTGGACCATCCTTGATACACACGGGAAACTGTTGAGCGTGATCATAGCTTTCACCTGGATTCATCTGGTCAGTCTATTTCATGGAAAGAGCAGGTGTTCCTAATGTTTTGTACCCTCAGTGTATATTACTGTATTCATTCAGCCAGAGTGTGTTTGTATCTCCCTGTGAGGCGAAGACTATTTATCTGAGTATGTTGACTCAATGTACATCTTCAATCAGATAAGACAGGGAAAATATGTCACATTAAACTAAGTCAAAAGACGGTTTGCATCCATAGTGTCAGACAGAGATCTGTGATTTCTCTGCTTGTTGTCCGACGGAAATAAGAGAAAAACATATCTTAGCTCTGCATGGTTAGAAAGTGATGATCATTAGCATAATGCAATGAAATTTGAGAGAAACATCAAACTAATTAATACAAAAGCTGTCAGGAGCCCAGTCGTTTTAAAACCATGTCAAGGCGCTATTGATCTCCTACTTTATCAAAAGGCCTAGCAGTTCCCTGTCTACTCTCCTTTGAAAAGCTCTCTGAAAATTAAAAACAGGGTAGTTCTTAGAGTAGAGTAAGTAAATAAAAGGTGCACACACCTCTAGTTGAGGTGCTTACAAATGGAAGGTAAAAGTTACAAATTAAAAATAAAGTCTCACTTTAATCTAGCCTTGCTGTGGATTTATGTCACCAAGGAGAGATGAGTGTGAGACTTTATTCTATTTGTAAAGTGCTAAAGTTCATAGGAAGTCAAGAGTAGGCACTTCTGTCATAGGGAGTAGGGATGTCCTAAAATGAACACCACACCTACCTCCTTGGGACTTTTGTCATAGGGAGTAGGGATGTCCTAAAATGTACACCGCACCTACCTCCTTGGGACTTTTGTCATAGGGAGTAGGGATGTCCTAAATGTGCATCATACTGTTGTTGAGGTAGAGAGGATCTGAGAAGTGCATCACTTACCTCCTGGGATCTCTGTGAGCTCGTTGAGAGGAGGCACAGTCTCCAGTGTGTTGGCGTAGTCCTTAGCTGCTACTCTCTGAGCATGTCGCGCCTCAATCTCCTTCTTCGTCCTGGGGATACGGCATTTGAAGATGCAGCATAGGGTGATGACTTGCAAATGGAGAAGGTGGGCGAGAAAGAGAGAGATAAAAGATAAAAATATATTTCCCATGTGGAATATTATTTACTTGTACAGTGAGGGAAAAAAGTATTTGATCCCCTGCTGATTTTGTACGTTTGCCCACTGACAAAGACATGATCCGTCTATCATTTTAATGGTAGGTTTATTTGAACAGTGAGAGGCAGAATAACAACAAAAAAATCCAGAAAAACGCATGTCAAAAATGTTATCAATTGATTTGCACTTTAATGAGGGAAATAAGTATTTGACCCCTCTGCAAAACATGACTTAGTACTTGGTGGCAAAACCCTTGTTGGCAATCACAGAGGTCAGACGTTTCTTGTAGTTGGCCACCAGGTTTGCACACATCTCAGGAGGGATTTTGTCCCATTCCTCTTTGCAGATCTTCTCCAAGTCATTAAGGTTTCGAGGCTGACGTTTGGCAACTCGAACCTTCAGCTCCCTCCACAGATTTTCTATGGGATTAAGGTCTGGAGACTGGCTAGGCCACTCCAGGACCTTAATGTGCTTCTTCTTGAGCCACTCCTTTGTTGCCTTGGCCGTGTGTTTTGGGTCATTGTCATGCTGGAATACCCATCCACGACCCATTTTCAATGCCCTGGCTGAAGGAAGGAGGTTCTCACCCAAGATTTGACGGTACATGGCCCCGTCCATCGTCCCTTTGATGCGGCGAAGTTGTCCTGTCCCCTTAGCAGAAAAATACCCCCAAAGCATAATGTTTCGACCTCCATGTTTGACGATGGGGATGGTGTTCTTGGGGTCATAGGAGCCCCAGGCCGAGGGAGATTGACAGTTATTTTGTGTTTCTTCCATTTGCGAATAATCGCACCAACTGTTGTCACCTTCTCACCAAGCTGCTTGGCGATGGTCTTGTAGCCCATTCCAGCCTTGTGTAGGTCTACAATCTTGTCCTTGACATCCTTGGAGAGCTCTTTGGTCTTGGCCATGGTGGAGAGTTTGGAATCTGATTGATTGATTGCTTCTGTGGACAGGTGTCTTTTATACAGGTAACAAACTGAGATTAGGAGCACTCCCTTAAGAGTGTGCTCCTAATCTCAGCTCGTTACCTGTATAAAAGACACCTGGGAGCCAGAAATCTTTCTGATTGAGAGGGGGTCAAATACTTTATTTCCCTCATTAAAATGCAAATCAATTTATAACATTTTTGACATGCGTTTTTCTGTTTTCTTTTGTTGTTATTCTGTCTCTCACTGTTCAAATTAACCTACAATTAAAATTATAGACTGATCATTTCTTTATCAGTGGGCAAACATACAAAATCAGCAGGGGATCAAATACTTTTTTCCCTCACTGCATCTGAAGTACATCTGAATATGTATTGAACTAGACACTACTCAACGGTGTCACATTACAGTTTTACAGCTATTACCATTTACAATGAGCTACAAAAGTATTGGGACAGTTTTTATGTTGTTGCTTTTACTCTGTACTCCAGCACTTTGGATTTTAAATGATACAATGACTATGAGGTTAAAGTGCAGACTGTCAGCTTTAATTTTGGGGTATGTTCATCCATATCGGGTGAACCGTTTAGAAATTACAGCACTTCATGTATTTAGTCCCTTGACCAAAAGTATTGGGACAAATTCACTTATGTGTATTAAAGTAGTCAAAAGTATTTGGTCCCAAATTCTTAGCACGCAATGACTACATCAAGCTTGTGACTCTACACATTTGGTGGATGCATTTGCTGTTTGTTTTGGTTGTGTTTCAGATTATTTTGTGCCCAATAGTGTCATTTACAAATGTATGGTAAATAATGTATTGTGTCATTTTGGAGTCACTTTTATTGTAAATAAGAATAGAATATGTTTCTAAACACTTCTACATTAATGTGGATGCTACCATTATTATGGATAATCCTGAATGAATCGTGAATAATGATGAGTGAGAAAGTTACAGACGCACAAATATCATGACCCCCACAAAGAATGCTAACCTCCCCTGTAACTGTAATGGTGAGAGGTTAGCATGTCTTCAGGGTATGATATTTGTGTGTATAACTTTCTCACTCGTCATTATTCATGATTCATTTAGGACTATCATTTCAAATCCAAAGTGCTGGCGTACAGAGCCAAAAAAAAAAATAGAATTGTCACTCTCCCAATACTTTTGGAGCTCACTGTATATTACTGTAAAGTGACACTTCAACATCAGCTATTATCAGACTACTTTCCTTTTTGTTGATTCGGTCTATTTCATAACATGGTTTAGTTATTACTGTTTAGAAGCCTAATGAATTATGACTCAAATAGAATGCAATTTTTGTCTTGTGCAGTGTTGTCCTCCTCCTCCCCTTATTGAACCATGCATCATGTGGTCGATAAAGCAAACATAAACAGATGATACCATGACCATTTGGAGCCCTCCCTCACAATAACCATGACAATTCAGCAAATGATATGCATTTCCATATATCATGTGATCTATCTGTTCAGTATGCAAATTAGTTGGACTATGCAGACAAATAGCTGAGCTGAAGCATTGTGCCTTGACTGAATGACTTATACATTCATTTTACTAATGTGATTTATATAAATAGAATTGGAAGATGGAGGATTGATGTGAAATTGATAGGTATTTGTGCATTTATGTAAATATTTATTTAATAAATAGTCTTTAATATCTGGCAGATATACTATTATGACAGGTTTGGAGAAATACTTACTGACTGCTAGAATAAACATAGAGAAGATGCCAATGACCTGCCATAACCGCAGTCCCCAGAATACAACTGTTTCTGAAGTGACTGGGTCTGGCTTCTTTGGGGGATCTGTCGGTAAAAGCTGTTAGAGGAAAAAGAGACAATATTTGCATGAGTACATTATTGTGTCATCTAGACAGGTACTCTGCAAATCACTCTGCTGTTTGATTGTCTTCATGACAGTTAGTTAAATGCTATTTGGACAAATACCGCAATTGAAGCAAATATCAATCTGATTGAGAGAATAATATTATTCACTTCCGCTCAGTTTCTGAAGAGACACGGTGGCAAGACAGTTGGAGGAAATACAGAAGTTTAAAAGAAAAGTTGATGTCAGTGTATGGATAGGGAAAACCCTGAAACAGGGAAGAAGGGCTTGGCTTGGAATAAAACCCTGAAGTAGAGGATCTCGTAGATCATGCAGAATGTGAAACATGCCAGTCTGGTGTTACCCCTCATGACTCCTTAGTCCTCTGAATATGTCAGTCAACCTGAGGCCACTTGTGAGTGAGTGCTACCGCCACAAGCCAAAAACATTCACTTAAATCTGCCAAAAAAAACATCTCAACAATGGATAACAATGGATTGAATCCCAATCAACTTTCACAGAAATAGAAAGATGACTATCTGAAAAAGAAAATGGGAAAACAAAACAACAGCATTGAACCGAGCAAGAACAACAAATCACAAAATAGACCAATCTCTTTGAACACTTTTCTTTTACACTTGGCCTATCTCCTGTCTTGTTCCAACTCGTTCACCTTTTTCATAACTTTGGCTGAAAACTTAAGCTGGTAATAAAATGCTGGAAAGCTACTGAATGCTGAGAAATACTGTAAGAACACAATGAAAACAAAATAATTGCCTCACTGAGTGAATGGCACTGATTGAGGAGAATTAATCACACATCTTGGCACAAAGAGTGAAGATTAAAAAAAACATACAGAATTCTCCCCCTAATCAGAGGGATCGAAACACTGTTCTGTTCACGTGATAGAGAGGAAAAGGACACGTTTAATCTGAACATACACTGTACTCCTTCTCAGTCGTACTAGTAGGAACACCTTGACAACAGCCTTCAAAATCTTTAGATGTTGTTTTAGAGATATTGATCTGAAATGATTGGAAGCATGTTTTTTGCTGACTTTATACAACATCATAAACACAATTAAAAGAGTCTCTAAAGTGTTGAAGGTTGTAGTGTTGTTAGTCTGAGTATTCACATTTCAACACTTTTTTCATGTCAGATAAGTCTAGAGAAAATGGTGAAATGCAGTGCTGTAGCAGACAGACAGAAAACCAGTGATTAAAGATACGCGCACGGTACCAACACCATCGACGGTGGTTGGCCTGATCACCGACGATAATGAGACAGCCTACAGGGAGGAGGTCAGTGACCTGGCAGTGTGGTGCCAGGACAACAATCTCTCCCTCAAAGTCAGCAAAGGAGCTGATCGTAGACTACAGGAAACGGAGGGCCAAGCATGCCCCCATCCACATCGATGGGGCTGTAGTGGAGCAGGTTGGGAGCTTCAAGTTCCTCAGTGTCCACATCACTAAGGAATTATCATGGTCCACAACAACCAACACAGTCTTGAAGAAGGCACGACAACTCTTCTTTCCCCTCAGGAGGCTGAAAAGATTTGACATGAGCCCTCAGATCCTCAAAAGATTATACAGCTGTACCATTGAGAGTATCTTGACTGGCTGCATCACCGCTTGGTATGGCAACTGCTTGGCCTCCGACCGCAAGGCACTACAGATGGTAGTGCGTACAGCCCAGTACATCACTGGGGCCGAGCTCCCTACCATCCAGGACCTCTATACCAGGCGGTGTCAGAGGAAGGCCCTAAAAATTGTCAAAGACTCCAGCCACCCGTCATAGACTGTTCTCTCTGCTACCGCACGGCAAGCGGTACCGATGCACCAAGTCTGGAACAAACAGGACCCTGAACAGCTTCTACCCCCAAGCCATAAGACTGCTAAATAGTTAGTTAAATAGTTAACCAATAGCTACTTGGACTATCTGCATTGACCCTTTTTGCACTAACGCTGCTGCTACTGTTTATTATCTATCCTGTTGCCTAGTCACTTTATCCCTACCTATATGTACATATCTACCTCAATTACCTTGTACTCATGCACATCGACTCAGTACTGCTACCCTGTTTACATAGCCAAGTTATAGTTACTCATTGTGCATTTTTTCCTGGTGTTATTATTTTTCTATTATTTTTCTTTTTTTCTCTCTGTATTGTTGGGAAGGGCCCTGTAAGTAAGCATTTCACTGTTGGTCATGCTGAACTCACTGCCTGCTGCCATTGATGTTAGCATTGAAGTGTTAGTTCCCTAGTAAAATAATATTGCAGAAGGAAGATTTGCTTATTCAAAAAAAAAGTGAACGGGGAATTTGTTTTGAAAAGCTACAGTAGGCTATAGTTTAGGTGTGAGATCAAGTGAGAGAAAGAGAGTTGCAGTTTTCTTGTGAATTTATGTAAATCACAAGGCTCATTTGAATTTCCTAGGGATGATTTAAATAATACTGACTGGGGTTTTGAACTGTAGGTCAAATTATTCATACACAGTACAAGACGCATTATGAAGAAACAAGAAATATTAAACAACAAGACATTAATAGAGAAAGATACGATCTCAACGCTCTTAGATCTGCCTCAAAGTTTGTAGTCCACATCCTTGACATCACAATTAGGCTACAATCCGAGGTTATACTGTATTATTAATAGTCATCATTATGATGAATTCAAAGCCCTGGTGACAAGCCTTGAAGCTCCCATGCAGTCTTTTCATTATATTTTTAATAAATCACTGTGTGTATTTATTTAATGAAAGAACCTCACAATGTTTTTTTATCATTTATTTCCTTGAGCCTCGTATTGCCATTGCAATGCTCAGTCTGATCGTGTGGGCGTGTTGATACAAATGTAAATATATTTACATACACAGCTCTAATTGGCGGATAGGATTGTCTAGACTCTAGAGCATACCCCGCTTACCCCTTCAAAGTAGAAGGATACATAAGCAAATGAAAGATGACTGGTCATTGATCAGAATGATCAGATTGTGATGTCATGCTGTGGGCCAAAAACTCCATCCCACCTGAACAGGCTGAAATTCCACTTATTTTTTGTTTGATTTTCTCAAAAGCTCTTACACTAAAAAGGCATTATCATAATGTTCACAATTTTAGAGTGTTATATTGACATTATAGTGTGGAAATATAATAAAGAAAACAGGAAATCACGTTTTTTACTGCACTGCCCCTTTAAATTATTTATCATGTGTGAAATGTGTGTTAAGTCAATAGAGTCTATAAAAATAAAAGCGTGATGTGATTACAGTGTGTTAAGGAAGGTGTTGGAATTTCACCTCAAAATCAATACCTTGCTTTATGGTGTGCTGCAGTCAATCAGAGCCATCACCCTTCCTCTACAACACACACACACACACACACATTCACACACACACACACAGACACACACGCACAGGTCCTGGCTGTCTCATTACTCTACCACACCACAGTCACAGTGAGGTATCCAGGGCCGGCCCTGGGCATAAACGACATAGGTGGTCGCCTAGGTCCCCGGCCGCTAGGGGGCCCCCAACCCCCCAAAAAGTTTTAAAGAACTCAGTTAAGGTCTCAACTTACTGTTGAGTGTTAAAATAGTAGAATACACAAGGTGCAATTTCAAAATTTGGTTGTGCATCAGCAGGTTTCCTCTTGTTAAAGTATGTCAGTCATTGTGTGTCACTCAATTAGCCCATGTCAGCTAAACATTTTATATTGGTAAGTTAGTCTACCCAGCTATCTAAACTTGTAGTAATCATGGCCGAATTACCAACCGGGCACGAAGGGCATGTGCCCAGGGGCCCTGACCTCCAGGGGGCCCCCATTGATTTTATTAGTCACTCTCACTCAGATGTCATATTAACATGGCAAAAGTTGTTGCAAAATTATGTAGAATTTCAGGAAATTTGCTTTACAACTGCAAAATAATTATCTCCACCCCATGGCAAGATGTGTAGAATTGTAGGAAATTAGCTGTAAAACTGAATTGTGTCTCTCCTCCCAATGGCAAAACAAGTAGAATTGCATGAAATCTTTTATAAAATGGCAAAATGTTCTCTACGCCCCATGACAAAATGTGTAGAATTGCAGGAAATTAACTTTAAAACTACATTTCTTTCTCTCTCCCGGGCGGCCCCCCTCAACCAAATCGCACCTAGGGCCCCCAAAAGGCTAGGGCCAGCCTTGGAGGTATCCTTTCTGGTGCTCCTCTATCACGCCTTGTTTTGATGGAACAACAAGCAGGGGTTACATCTAGCAGCCCCATAGTTCATATCTACAGAACAAATATATGATGGGTCAGGATACGGACACTTATTACGTTTCCTGTCGTGGTAAACAATCTCATCTCACAGAACAATACATCTGGGAAGAGGGCCAAACAACACTTGTGCATTAGCCCAGATGACTTTCAAGCAAATGGGGCGTTTATGTGAAAACTGAGATAGCTATTTATTTTGGGAAATTCAGAGTGCAATATTTGAAACATTCACCGAAGGATATCCTTTCAGCAAAAACAATTTCTATAGATTTTTTCAGTACAATTTGATTGAACTTGGCAAGGAGGATTCAAGCGTCTGTGCTTTTCCAATAACGATCAGGATGAAATATTACACTAGATGTGCATTTGACCATTTGACCAGTACAATGTAATGTAACGTTCAATGAAACCAGATGTAAAACTATGACCTTATCAAAACATTGATTAACTATCGTTCTGTGGCGTTAACGTCAGTCGTTGTGAAGTGCCTTGAGCACTTGATACTCACACGTCTCATGTCTCATTTTGATGGAGCCCTTGACCCAATGCAGTTTGCATACAGGAAGAACAGATCAGTGGACGATGCTGTACTGACGGTGTTGCACAGTGCAGTGACACACCTGGAGAGGCCTCATTCTTATGTGTGCATCCTTTTCCTGGACTTCTCTGCTTTTAACTGCATGCAGCCTCACCTTTTCTGTGACAAACTCTCCCACCTACAGGTGGACCCCAGCAT